TTAAGCCTAAATATGCTTGGATAGAGAGATGGAAGTTCAAACTTTTACCTGTTCAGCTTGAATCGTGTGCAACAATGGAGGCACTTTCAATGCAGTGTGAGGGCTTGTACAACTTGCTTGAGGTCCAGGGATGCTTCCTCTATGCTTGGCTTGCTTTGAATCTTACTGAATCGAGCTACAGAAGTCAACCTGCACAGATGAAAAATGAAAATGGCACACTTGGCTATGGCTGTTACAGTTCCAGTTCAATGCTTGGAATAGCTTCAATGGATGATAGGGAGTGTGTTTGAAGAGGTTTCAGCCAAAACGCACGATAGGAATGGACTGTGGGATTCAAATTGCAGCTTATGCCCTGTTTTTCCACAAAACTGTGTTTTTCTGTATATGGAGGTTTGAGAGATGGTTTGGTCGTGTTTCAGACTTGGTTTGATGTTTGGAAAATGTTCAAGAAGTTTGTTTAGGCTTGTGTTGACAGGAGATGGAAGTTGGTATGTGTTTGCAAGATTTCTTCTATGTGAAGCAAGGAAATGTGAGTTTCTATACAAGCATGTCCATAGCCCTAAACTATGCTGCACTTCTTGTTCTTGATAATAGTGATTTGTGTACAAAATTCTAGCTCTCAAGATCTTGCCCATGCCTCTTGGATTTGTATTTGACATAAAGTGCTTCTTTACAAGAATGGATAAAATGCTTTTTCTAATTATGGATTAATCTAACATGTATTGCCCAAATGAATGAAATAACAACTTGGCACAATGGTTTAGCATTGAATTATTGAGTGCAAATGGGATTAGAGGCCTGTAACCTAGCTTGTGCAAGCTGAGTTTGAAAATGCAAAGTGTTATGAACATGAAATTGGCCTATGAACAAAGTGACTTTTGCCCATATTGACAAATTCGAATCTCTCTAACCACAAGGGTGTTTGATGAGTTCTTGGACAATTTGGAAAGCTTGGAATGTGTACCACAATCCATCTTCGTAATGCAAATTGAAATTCCAAGTGGAAGCATGTGAAAAGTGGCCATGAAGTTGGGCAAAAATCCTGCCTAGAATAGGTCAAATTTTTTCTAAGTTAAGAATATTTTGCACCCTTGTTCCAAAAATCATAACTTGAGTTACAAGCTTCTTTTGAGGAAACTTTGTGAATCAAAGTTGTAGATTTTGCAATGGACTATAACTTTAATGTTTTGAGTTTTGTTTGAATCCAAATGTATCTTGATGAAAAGATGGGACAAAGTTAGGAAAAAATTAGAAAATTTCATAACTTAGAAAATTTCTAAGTCATGAAATTTCTTCATTTCAAACCCTAATTTGTAATTTTTGGTTTCTTGATGAACAAATTTCATAATTTGACATGTTTTGATGAAAAATGAATCTTGGCACTTGATTTTGACCAAAAAGTCAAAGTTTGACTTTTCAGTATACAGTCAAATCTTGCTCAGTTGACTGGAAAATTCATCTGTCAATCTTATGCATTTGGGATCTTTTGAACTTGTTGAACATGCCAAGATAATGCCATTGGGTCCTTGAGTCCATATGTGAGCTTGGTTTGCCATTGTCCAGGTCAAACAGTCAAAAATTGCCTTTGTGCAGTCAAAACCCTAAAAATGACCATTTTGCCCTTTTGGTGATCTGATCAAATTTCTTGTGGAATTGTGATCCAAACTTGACCAAATGTTTCATATGAGTTCATAATGTTGATGTGGGTCAAATTTCATGAGGTTTGACTGTCAATTGACCACAGTTGACTTTTTCCCCAATACAGTTGATTTCTAGGTCAACTGTCCAATTGACTGGGCAAAGATTGGAATCAAGACTTGAAACTTGGTATGGATAAACTTGTGAGTCCAACATGAAGCATGAAAGTCATCTTGGGCATTTTAGGTCAAAACATCTTTGTGCAAACTCAAACCCTAATTTGGGTCAACAATGCAAGGAGGAGTCTTGAGCAGAGCAAACCCTAACTTGATCTTGAGCTCCAAGGGTCTTGTGGTGAGAAAATATTGATGAAATGGGAGGGCAAATTTTGGGGTACAACAGTAGTCCTCCAAGTCAGTTCTTCAATTTCTATCAGGATAATCACTTCCACATCACACGTGAGTCGGTATGAAGTCTCCCTGTTATTGATTAGTGGTCGTACGACATGCCCATAAAACACGTGGTAAGTCATCTGGCCAATTGTCCTTGGATTCTTCTAGTCTTTTTTTCAATCCTTTGACCAACATTTGGTTGGCCTCTTTCGCTTCCGTTGGTTTGAGAGTGTTCGACTAACGAGAAATATTGCTTGATTTCCAATTCTTCCTGCAGGCTCTTAAATATCCTGATTATGAAGTGTGTCATATTGTTTTTCACAATGGATTGAGGAACTCTAAATCGGGCCAAAATGTTCTCCTTGAAAAACTTTAAAACATTCGTTGTCATGATTTTAGCCAAGACTTCGACTTCTATCCAATTGGTAAAATAATCCCTATTGCATGAATGACCATGGCGAGGTTAGAACGTGTAGCTCGGTAGATAAGATGTTGAATACATCTTCATGTCATTGGCATTGGTCACATTTCTTTACATACTCATGAGCATCTTGGACCATGGTCGGCCAAAAATATACCACTCTCTGGACTTTTTTGGCAAAGGCAACGACTCCTAAGTTTTTTCCGACTACCCCCTCATTTACCTTCAGGAAAGCGTAACCAATGTCTTCATTTCCTAAGAATCTTAATAGAGGAATGGAAAGATCACGGTCCTTTCAGCTATTGTATATCCACTGACCCTTTTTTTCATTAGGGTCGCTTTTGATGGATTCAGTGGTAGATTACCGTGCTCAATATTTTTTTTATCAGAGTGGTCCAAGAAGGAGATGTTGTTACGCATATGATCATCACAAATTTCTCCACTGGTTCAATACTCAGCGTTTTCTTAGTTTCATGGACGAATGAATGATTGATTTTCGAACTTCACGTATTGGCCAACTGAGATAAAACATCAGTGCAAGTGTTCTCTTCACATGGAACGTGAGCAATCTCATATTCCCTGAAATTAGCTAATTTTTGGTAGCGAGCTTAAGGCATTTTTGTAATAAAGTTTCTTTAACTCGAGCTTCGCCTTGGGTCTGAGAGACAACCAACTGAGAATATGTCTGCAACTAAATTGTGCGAATTTAATTGTCAACAACTTATTATTATCACTACTAGTAACAAACCCGTGCGTACGCACAAGTTATAGTCTAGTACGCACATATTAAAAGATTAAAAAAAATTTAGATCAATAATAAATTTTTACCGTATACCATTTTTAGATCATAAATATTTAAAATAATTAATATTTTTTAATGAAAAATTACTATTTTTAATTGCCTTAACAACACGTATATGAAAAGTTAGACAAATCCTATTTATAATACTCCCCCCGGTCTCATTTATAAGAAAAAATTAACTTTTTATATACATTGAATAAGTAATGTATTTGGACAATATATTGTCCAAATACATTACTTATTTAATGTATCTAAAAAGTTAATTTTTTCTTATAAATGAGACCGGAGGGAGTATCAATTATGTATTGATAATATCCAACATCTTAAACAAATTTTAATTAAGATGAGAATAATATTCATACACCATACACCGTCGATATAAATTTTGTTTTTTCGTATTTAACTAATAGAAAATCAACAATGTTTCATATTATTAAAATTTTTTAAAATTAAAAATGAAATATAATTAAATACATGATGATTGTGATTGATTGACCCTCTATCACTTTTTTTTCTCATTCAATATATGTAATGGTGAAAAAAATTCCAAAATGTCAGACTTTAATACAAATATTATGCATGATATCCGCATTTTAAGACTTATAAGTGATAATGAATTTTTATTTATTTTTTATCCATGATTGCTCCTAAATTTAAGATAAGAATCCTCTCAGCATGCACGTCAAGTCAGCCAAATACCTCTCTTGAAACATATTTATTATAGATTTAAAACCTCAGGTCTCCTAACTTATTAACTTTATTTCATTTTATTAAATTCAACATCTTTTAATGTTTTTTTCTTCTTTTTGACAAAAGTTGAATTATTTTTTTATTTTCTTTTAATTAAGGTTCTTGTCTCTCATGCTTTTACTTTTCTTTCTTTTTACTTTTATATTCTGACTAAAAAAAATCATGAATCAAATTTAATATATTTTAATTTTATTTTTCATGATACATTATTATAATATAAATTTTTTTACACATTTAATTCATTATCATTATTTTATAAATAATTTAAATAAAATTTAAACTTCTCTCAATATTCAATATTACCTAAATATCTAAATTTTTTTCATTGACATTTCGATTAAATTATTTTTTATTTATATTTTTAATATTAATTATAAAAAACACAATAATTAACACTGTCTCCATGATCATATCAGTTTATAAATAAAAAAATACTTATTTTTCTTGTTATAAATTATAAGAAAAAATATCTATTTTATATCATTTAACTATTTTATTCTAAAAATTCATCTTTTCTAAAATTATATTAAATACAAATTATATTTAATTTGATTTCTCTCTTATTTTTTCTATAAACAATAACTAATCAAAATTATTTTTATATTTTTTCATAAAATATATTTTAAAAAGATATAAAAATTTAAACTTTCTTAATAAATATAAAATATTAGATTTTTGTTTATAAATTGATACGGTAATATCTATATATTAACTTATTAATTAAAAGAATAATTGCAAATAAAAGAAAAATTTAATACAAATAATTATTAAATCATCAATTATATTTGCTGACTCTAATCGAAGGCGTGGGTGAACGAAGAAAGCATTGCTGAACACACGAGTCTCTTCGTACACTCTCACCTCATCCCTTTGCTATTGCCTTTCCGTGCGCGTTTATCTCTCGAGAAAAGGCAAAAACGGTTATTCATATTTTCTAGAGAGAGAGAAAGAGAGTGAAACGACGGTGAACGCTATTGACCTCAGAACCACCGCAACCATGGCGGCGCCCGAGAACCACAACACCAACGCTCCGACCAAAACCAGAGAAGATGGCGAACTCTCTAATTCCGATGAGGCTGACGTATTATTCTTCTTCTTCTCAAAACCTAACATATCGTTTGCGTTTATCGTTTCTGCGATTTTTTGTTCGTTTTTTTTTTTGTTTCGATTTTGCTTGCGGAATTTATTTGCTATCTCGTTGCTGTTAGATCTGAGATGATAGAACTCGGTTTTGTTTAGGTTCAACATGTGACTAGTGCGGTCTAGGGTTTTATGCTTCTTTGGTGGCTTAAACTGTAGAACTAGAAATGAAATAAATAAGAGCGAAACAAAATTTGAAAGCATGTCGTGGAAGCAATGTACTGTTGGTGTAAATTTAGATCTATTGATTGGAATTTGTTATTGAGTAATTTAGCAGTTGGTCGGAACTCTGAACTAGTTTGTAAATTTATCCTCTGTAGCACTGACGCTTCTGATAAAAGGTGTGTCAGTGTCACTGTAGATGTTCGAAAATGACACCAACCCTTGTGATTCATTTTAATTTACTCATTTTTTTCAAATTACTATCAGTGTCGACGTGTCAGTGTCGTTGTTGTGTTTCCGGTATCCGTACTTTATAGGGTTTTATGCTTGTCTGGGTTAAACAGGAGAAATGAAAAATGAGATGCGTCACGAATTGTAAGCATGCGGTAGAATCAATGTGTTGTTCTTGCGAGTTCAATCCAATTAATACGGATTTGTTGCTGAGTATTTTTTGTCCTCCAGGAAAACTCCAATGGATCTACGGTGCAAGCCACCCTTGCTGCAGGGTCCAGTTTTGTTCCTTCGGTGAAACCAAGTACCCAAGGCATTCAAGGTGGTAAGTCTTGTTAACTCTCGATTGATTATCGCTCGTCTGGCATCATAAATTTCGTTTTAGTCTTGGTTTACGGAATCGGAAATCCGTCTTAATTGCGGCATGATGTTGGTATGCCATGTGTGTGAATATATAGTGCTCTAGTTTTTTCGGGTTTGATACAGCCTTTTCAGTGTATTTTTCTTTTCATATCGTCTGTGTTTTCTTACATGCATAGAAGTTCTGTTCTTCTAGTCAAAGTTTGTTGTGTACTTAATCATGTAAAAGCCATGTTAATTTTATTGACTTGTACAATTTATGGAGTGTAAGTTTCAGTGACAATGTTTTACAGGAGGCTCCAATAATATACAGATGCGAACAACCATACAACCGATTTCACAGAAGAGCATAAAAAAGAGCCAGTTACCCCTTAAATCTTCTCCATGGACTGGTCATGCAAGCGATGATAAAAATCTTGTGATAAGCTTTTCTGATGATGACAGTGGTAGTAGTGACTTTGAAAAAGGTACTGTTGTCACGTTGGAGAGAAATGTCAAGCGACCTAGCTCATCCTTGGAATATTCAAACAAGTTACAGTTACCACAAAATAGTAGAAGTTTGCAGAAGGAAATGCCCAAGAAATTTCCTTCTAATCGTACATTTCTCTCATCAACCACCAAGATTCCTAGTTTAAATTCTAAGGGGGCTGGATCCTGGTCATTGGGACAAGGATCACAAGCTAGAAATTTCAATCCAATGAACAGAACTTTAGCTAGCCGAGAGCGTGGACGTGACCAAGGAGCAGTATCAAATGGCAATAAACTTCAGGATTTGCGGCATCAGATTGCACTTCGGGAAAGTGAACTAAAGTTGAAGACAGCCCAGCTAAGTAAGGAGTCTGCTTTAGTTTTGGGTAGGGATCAGAATGCCACGAGCCTAAAGAATGACAAAACTAAGAAAAATATCCCCGTTTCATCTGGAGCTGCACAATTGGAGCCAAAAGAACCAGATAGGAAGCGCATGAAACTTGACACAACTCATGATACCCCTCAAGTTGTTGGTGGTCAGCAAGTTCCTGTTGTAAAATCTATATTACCATCAAAAGATTCTCTGTGCGGAGACATTTGTCCTCAGGAGAAAAACATGGTTGATCATAACCAGAAAGTGATTCCATCTTGTAGAGGAGAGTCAACAATCATCAAATCACAAAGACAACCTGACAATCATCTTGACAACCCATTACAAAATATATCTTGTAAAGCAAGAGAAGGTAAATACTTACTTCGTCGGTAACTTACACATTTTGGCGAACAAATTTTCTCAGAAACTTAATTGCACTATTCTGGTAATTTCCTTCTCTAGAATTGAAGATCGTCCTTCAAATATATGCCTGTCCGCGCATATTCGTGTTTGTGTATTTTAATATTTCATTAGTTTGTACCACGTGGTTGTCTCATTTCTTGGTTTGTGTATTCATTTCAACATTTCATTAGCTTGTACCATGTGGTTGTCTCATTTATTGGTTTGTGTATTCATTTCAACATTTCATTAGCTTGTACCACATGGTTGTCTCATTTCTTGGTTTGTGTATTCATTTCAACATTTCATTCGCTTGTACCAGTGGTTGTCTCATTTCTCGGTTTCCTGATCACACATTTATGTAAGGGTGCTTCCAAGTGCTATTGCAAATTTGATGTTACATTTTTTTATAAATATATAAAATTAGATTGCCATGTCATGATAACATGTAAATTGTACTATGACAAGACTGTCTGTTTGATTCCACCAGTGGCTAATTGCTTTTCAGTAAAACGTGTTTTAAGTCCTTTTCTGGTTAGAATCTCATGGTCTTCATCATACTTTGTAGGTGATGTCAATTATGGTTGCAACCAGACTGACAAAAGTAGTAGTCTGGTTGACCCTTGTGCAACTTTCAACCAAAGTGCAATGCCAGCAAATTTGCCTTCCAGTTGCGCGCCAACTAATTTAGTGAGTAATAATTTGCTATTTATACTCGCCAAAACTAGTTTAGTGTGTAATAATTTGCTATTTATACATTTATTTGTATTTGGTATTTTTTTGGTTTAATAACTGGTCATAAGTCATAATTTTCTATGCATAAATATTGAATGTACTGGGTGACTTTACTGAAAACACTGATATTTTGTTACTTGCTAATCTACCATGGTTAATCTTCCCCCTCTTTCATAAAGTGCAATTGTAGTGCCACTCTTGGTTGATGTTCTCTAAACAGTGTAGTTCATTTGAAATTCTTGACATTGTGTAATTTCAGTTGTCTTTATATTTCCAGATTAGTATAACACTACAGGGTTACCAAGCTGTTTCCTGAATAAAGTATTGACTCAATAAGCAATTGAAGGGGTCCCTAAATTACCTTTTATAATCACTATGTTTTTGTTGTATTGTGAATTGATTTGAATTTCCTCACTTTCACCTCTCGTCTTTGACTCAGGAAGCATTAAACAATGCTGTTCTTATGAATCATCATAATGGTAATGCAAGTGTCTCAGAGCATAGCAGCATTGATTTACAGTCGTTTTTTGGTATAGAAGAATTGATAGACAAGGAACTGGAGGAAGCTCAAGAGCACAGACATAATTGTGAAATTGAAGAGAGAAATGCACACAGAGCTTATCTTAAAGCTCAGAGGTCTTTGCTTGAGGCTAATGCTCGATGCAACAATCTTTATCACCAAAGGGAGTTGTATTTAGCTAAGCTACGATCTTTAATTTTGAATAATTCCAGTTTTTCTTGGTCTTTAGGACAGCACCAGCAACTTGATATAGGTCTAGATTACGTACCTAAACTTGGATATCAAATACCCACATCAAGCTGTCCGAGGCAGGCTGAATATAATATTAATAATCCTAGTTTTGATTCTAATGATCAAGGCATCAATAATAGGCAATCTGATACTTCCTATCACCACACAGATGGAGCAAATTTAGGATCTGAACATTGCGTTGAACCAGATGCTAGTACATCTGAACCATTGTCTCAAAGGGGTAATCATGCCGCAGATGGAGTGTATTCTCCTATGGAAGAATTTGATACATCAGATAATGAAAATGAAGAGATTTCTCTAGCTGAACATGCTTCTAATCATCTTGATGCTGAATATCAAAGAAAACAAGACTCCAAAGCAAAACAAATGCACATAGATACTACATCAAATGCAAATTGTTCCACCGATAGTCCTCAGGATTCTTTGCTTCTTGAAGCAACATTAAGGTCTGAATTATTTGCACGATTAGGGAAAAGAGCTATGAAGAGTAGTAGTCCATGCAACAACATTGAGACTGCTGAACGAGGTATTGAAAATGAGGTTGGAAATGAGAAAAGCCAACTGCATCATGGCGCTGTCCCATTGTCTAATGCAGAAAACAATGATCTTAAAGGTGGTTTTATTCTTTCTGGAATGAACATATTGTGATGTGTTATCTTTTGTTAAGTTTGCCATGCCAATCTTTAATCCTGTCAAAGCATAATAATATATAGCTTGGACAAACTGTATAATTCCTTTACTCTTATCTGTTTAAGGATCAAAGTTATATAATATTGTTAGGCTCTTCGTTTCTATCAACTAAACCAACTATCTAAATGCTTTAAAATAAAGCTGAAAAAAAGTGATACAAGGACTCTCACAATATTGAATTTATTTTAGTAAAAAAATCTAGAAGTGCTGTGCTGTCAATTGCGGTGTATTGGCTCGATTCGGAACTGACCAATCATTCAGGTTTCACATCAATGCTACTTGGTCTTTATTGTGAAATCACTAGTTGAAGTTAGCTGTAGTTAATTAAATTTTGATGAACTAGAACTTTTTTTGTTTAGTTCCTGATTATTTGTTCTTTTAATCTAGGCATTGATAGGGAAGAAAGGAGCACCCATCTGGATTCCAATGAGATTCAAAGTCAGCAAATCATTGGTGGAAATACTTTGAATGTCAACTGCTGTGCTGGTTCAGGTGATCGAGGGGATATGCCTTTTCAAGATCATCACTCAACTAATTCAGTGAACATTCCACCTTTGACTTTTAGGAGTGTATTTAGTGAGCTGAGAGAAATTTCACCATTTACTTCAAATCAGTTACCAAATAAAAATAAGTACACTCATGATAATGATGGTCAAAGTCAAAATGCTACTTGCCTTAGTTCTGATGAAGCAAAGAGGGACAGCATGATGGCAGTTTCAATGCCTGTCACCATTGGGAATTTATTTTCAAAAGAAGGCTCTTATGGCTGCAGTCCCGAAGTTGATCCATTTTGGCCACTTTGCATGTATGAGCTGCGGGGAAAATGCAACAATGACGAGTGTCCTTGGCAGCATGCGAAAGACTATGGTGATGGAAACACTAATCAGCATCAAGATACCGATTTTAATAATGGAGGTATAAAAAATTAGTTACAGTTAGGAACCTATATATTTTACCTTCGTGCTTGTTGTTTGATGGAACTTCCATGTCATAGGATTTACAATTTTTTTGAAGAAAACTGTGTATTACTTTGTAAATCATTGAGCATGAAGCTCTACAAACAGAAAGATAAACCAGAGTGTGACACTAATACCAGAACACAATGTTCCTAACCAAAGAGAAAACTCTCCTAACCACTTTAACAATATTTCAGAATGCCCTCACCACTACCCATCCCCTCTCTCTTATAACCAACTCACACAAGTTCAGTACACACCTCACTAACTAACTTATCCTCTCCTCCTGGCCCCACCTTCTTTCCCCTCGTGCAATCCTTCCAGAAGCTGGGCTCATGCAGATATGCCTCAATGCCTGGCTCAGCAAGAGCCATAGGCTCAAGTGTCCTTTCACCTTGGGCCACAGGCCCAAGTGTCCCATCACCATGGGCAACAGGCCCAAGTGTCCTATCACCATGTGATGATTGTTATTTGTATTTTCATGGTGTTTTCTGAAGCTGAACTAATATTGTTTGAATATAGAAGATAATTAGGTCAATGAATGATACAGAAAAGAAACTACAGTCCGTCCTACTTTAAACTAGGGTTTGGGATCTAATAATTGTTTTTATCCAGAAAAAAAGTATGTCAAGTTATTGGGTATGTCTGATTGAGTATGCGGGTGGGATCACATATGTATGATTTATATTCCTGTACAAATCAGAAGCTGTACTAGAAATGAAGTAATTATCTGTTATTGGAGGTTGAAATTGAATCAAATTTGCATTGAATGCGTGTTATTGATCTTCAGTGACTGGACCCAAACACCGAGTTGACGACCTTTCAATATCTTATTATTTTGCTTGGACTCAAAATTAGAAAAAAGATAGCTTCTTTACACCTGAAGTAAATTGTCGGGGACACTGAATTATGTGACATAATTTGAAATTTGAATCGACCCATAACAAGTGCTGCAGCACTAAGATTTACTATTTTAGACATGTGCTTGCTAGTATTAATATACTAATATATATAGATTACAATTACAATTTCTGAATTATGACTTCATTATGATATTAGCCACTTTATACTACTTATTAAAAGTATTCCCTCAAAAGGATTGTTATACTGTTTCAGCAGATTCTCAAGATAGATTACCGTTGCATCAACAAAATTGTAATGGGGTGACAAAAGTTACCAAGTATCACAAAGCTACTATTCTGCCAACATACCTTGTTAGTTTAGATGTTCTGAAAGCGGATCAATTTGCATATAAACCTATTGCTGCACAGAGGATTGCTCAATACTGGCAGCAGCATTTCAGTATCACTCTGGCTACTATGAATTTGCTACAAAATGGTTCACCCGCAGATGGTCCATTATTACATGGTGGTGATGAACGCATAGAGGTCCATGGGGCATGGAACAAGCAGTTATCTATTCAGTGGAGAAATGGAGTTGGGGTTTGTTGCTTCTAACCATCATATTGTTTTCCTGGTTTATTCTAATATTTTTATTTTCTTTAATTGTGTTTTAGCACTACAATGCCAAAGTGAGCCCAATGTGTCAATTATAAGAATGCTTTTCATGATTTTATTTTGAATTTTGTAGGGATGTTTTTGGATTTTATTTGGTTATTTCATGTATATGATAGAAATAGGAAGCATACTAGACGGATCGGGAAACTCCTAGAAGAGTACTTGCTTACTACGAACTGAGTTTTGTAATGCCTATTGAGGGACCTAGAATTCGTAAAATGAGATCAATCTTTTTATGTTTGACAACCTATGATTATTCCAATAACTTTTTCTTTTTTCCCGGTATTCTTAGAAGTTTATGCCTAGTGGATTAGGTGGCGTGACAGAACAATATTAAGATGTTATACTTTTGAATATTTAAATGATCCACTATTTGAAGTCTAGAATATGAAGGACAGCCATGTTATATTTCAAACACTTATGCGCATCAGTTAATGCACTTATATGGTGTTTGGTATAGTTTTTTTAATGGCAAAGATCTTTTATTCTTGTTTTTTGTAGTGCTCAGTATAGATGGCAATTTTGTGAACTTCAATGCAAAGAATTATTTCTTGTATATACAGAGATTTTCTTCAGTCTTAGAGTGTAGTTGTTATTGATGGACTAAACTTTCAGTTTTAGAGTCTCAGATACCATCTCTGGACTTGTATCAGCCATGGAACAAAAAAGCTCCTGATACATTATAAGGGACGAAAGGGAAAACCATAAAACTGATTCTGTTATCTGTTTGAAAATGATTCATTTATTTACAATGGGTGAGTAATATATACATATAGATAGCTGACTCTAATCATACACTAATCTTATCCTGCACTACAAAGGACAGCTGTCATGAACAAAGACAGCAGTCATTATTAAGGATAGTTGCCGTTTAACTCGTTACTATTACTAAGTTCTATACTCATATAGTTTTCTGGTGTACAGCCCTTGATTAATCTAGCCTTGATTTTATGATTAACCTGTACAATATAGTTTGAAATACTGAATTTCTTGAATTCATTTATTCGTACTAACTTCCACTTTATTTATTGCATAATTAGAATCAAATTAAACAGGCTATGGCTGATAGTGAGCAAGCTGTTGAGACGGCTCTTCTTATTCTCAACCAGGAAATCAATAAGTTGCAAGGGGTGCGAAAGGTAACAGTTGTTAGTGCATTTTTTCTTTGTTGGTGGTTAGCGTTTGAGTTTGCTTACATATTTCTTTTAAATTTTTTGAACTTTTAGGCTCTATCTGTACTGTCCGAAGCGCTGGATAAGAATCCAACATCTGAAGTAACCTGGATAGTTTACATGCTCATTTACTATGGAGGTTTGGGGCAAAATGAAAAGGAGGACATGTTCTCATGCGCGGTATGCTTCTAATTGTTTTCTACTTTTATACGGAGCATGATATCTGGATAGTTTTTCTTTCTTACATGGAGAAATTTTGATAATATAGGAAGTGCAGGAGTTGCTATTAATGGTAAACCCCTGAAATCCTCTGGGCTTCCTCGGTTATTTCTTAGCTTGATTCTGTTATAATTGATATAACAGAGTTAAAATATCATTGAATAATGATTCTCTTATTGATGAATACAAAGAACATTACAAGAAAATATATAGTATTGAACAAAACATTTTAGTCCTCTGTTTTACTTTCGGGAAAGAGTGGAAACTGGGATTTGAATTTACAAGTACTACTTATAAAATACAACAGATTAGGAAATTACACATAAACAGGGAAAAGAAATAGTCTTGTTGCAAGGAAATTTTTAGGAATTTCGAGTGTCCAGGTTTCTCCTTTTCAAGAATTTGAGAACTTGGTCTATCCTTCCTTCTCATAACCAATCAATAACTATCTCCTAATCACTTTCTCCTTTCCTTTATTTATTCCTAATTAAAAGCAACATAACCGACATAATAAAAACATAACCAATCACTAACTATCTCCTAATCACTTTCTCCTTTCCTTGATTTATTCCTAATTAAAAGCAACATAACTGACATGATAAAAACATAATTATCAATTAATTTCTCCTCTCCTCTTATATTGTTCTCTAATAAGAAGTCGTACAGATCCGGATACCAACAATAGTTTTCACCAAGGTTGTCAAAATTGAGATCCTACATAGGAACGAGATTTGCAAGATTGTAAATCGATGAATAAGATTCACAGATTGACATGGATATGCTTAAAAAATATTATATACTATATATAAGCCGAACACTTTAAAACACCACAATTGCGTAATCAAAAAACAAATATATACTACTCTTATTATTAAAAAGTAATACTGTAGCATAATATATTTTCTTTCATTGTTAATTGTTAATACTGATTAATATTATTATGTTTATGTGTGATTTTTTTAAATCACTTTAGTAGTTATTAACTATTTAGTAAAAAACAATTATGATTAGTTATTGTAAACAAAAAAGAAAGCAACACGGTTATAACATTTTTAGGACTTAGCACAGTTCCCTTGCTGCCCCTACCAATATGCGACCCATTAAGATCGCAGAATTGCACGATCTCGCGCTGGCTTGCAATTTTGACCATCATGCGTAACACTATTATAAATCACCTGTTAGGCCTAGAGGTTAGGGTTGTGTGACGAGCATGCCTTTCTGAATTTATTTTATTTGCATATTCAAATCACGGGTTTCTGTCCTTTTAAAATGCTAAATATTGAGAGCTGTTCTATCCATGGTTATTGACTCATGTGTATCATTCGATACTGACACATGGTTCTATCATTTGTTGTGAGGCTGGTACGTACCTGTCGTGATACATAAGCAGTGATGGGGGGATGGAGATAAAACCTTTAAAGAAATAAATTGTCCGTGGTTGGGCTTTGACTATATAGATAGCAGAGAAACCAATGGTTTCACAATTTCGTCAATTTTTTTGACGAGGCTTTTATAATTTATCTCATAGACTCTACTTAAATTCCTTTTTAACTTCTTGCGAGTATGTTAAGCCTTCCTTATTTGCACTGATTATGTGCCTTACGTTGAGAGTTTTCAACCGATTTTTTTTCAGGTTAAGCTCTATGAAAGATCTTATGTACTGTGGCTCATGTACATCAATAGTCGGATAAAGCTTGATGATCGGTTAGCGGTCTATGATTCTGCCATCTCAGCTCTCTGTCAGCATGCATCTGCTGTTCCTGAAGACAGAGCAAGCGAAAGTGCAAGCATCTTAGATTTATTTCTGCAGATGATGGATTGTTTATGCATGTCGGGGAACGTTGAGAAGGCCATTCAGAAAAGTCATGAAGTTTTCTTGGCTACATCTAAATTGGATGAGCCCGATCTTCTGCCACTCTCAGATATACTCAATTGCTTAACAATTTCTGACAAATGTGTGTTATGGATTTGTTGTGTTTACTTAGTTATTTACAGGAAACTGCCTGGTGCTGTTGTTCAGAAGTTTGAATGTGAGAAAGATCTCCTGGACATTGAATGGCCTTCTGTTAGTTTATCAGACAATGAAAAGGAGAGGGCTGTTAAACTTATGGAAACAGCAGTTGAATATATAAACTCACGTGCCTTCACATTGGATAGTGAAGTTGATCTCAAGTATGCCCAACATTTTGCTCTCAATCATCTCAGATGCATAGTTTCTCATGATAGCCTAGAATGCTCAAGGATTTTGTTTGATAAATATGTTCAGCTATACCCTTTCTGCATAGAGTTGATCCTGATGTCAGCTCAAACACACAAACAAGATTTTGGTGTTGGTAATTTCGTGGTATTTGAGGACGCAATTAGTAGATGGCCAAAAATAGTTCCTGGAATCCAGTGCATTTGGAATCAATACATTGCAAATGCTATCTATAATCAAAGAACTGACCTTGCAAAAGAAATTACAGTCCGATGGTTCCACTCTGTATGGCAAGTGCAGGATCCCCCGTACGGCAAGATAAGTGTCACTGATGATGGCAATTCTTCTGGATTATTGGGATTAGGGTCAAAAATTGTTGCCCCAATTTCTGGTAAAAAACAGATGGATATGATGTTTGGTTATCTTAATCTTTCTGTTTATCATTTTTTTCAGAATGATAAAACAGAAGCATGCATAGCTGTTAATAAGGCTATGAATACTGTCAATTTTGTGGGTTTAGAGCAATATATAAGAAAATATGTAATGTTTCTGGTTTGTGATGCATCAAGCTTAAAGGAGGATGATCCAAAGAGTGCTATCAAGAAGATGTTTGAAGTATATATGGATGGTTCCTCCCAGGCGTTGTTAGCCCCTAGGGTGCTACCGAGAAAATTTCTTGACAACATCAAGAAGCCAAGATTGCAGAGTCTCATTGGCAATATATTAAAGCCAGTTTCATTTGATTGTTCTCCACTAAATTTGATACTCCAATCATCGTTTGGTTCATTTCTTTTACCTCAAACTGTAAGTGACCCAAAACATCTGGTGGATTTTGTTGAAGGCATTATGGAGGTAGTTCCTTACAACTTCCAATTAGCTATTGCTGTTTGCAAACTATTGAGCAAGGATGGCAGTTCTTCTGATCTAAACTCAACCGGTCTCTGGTTTTGGGCCTGTTCAAACTTAGTTAATGCAATAATGGATTGCATCCCAATGCCACCGGAATATGTCTGGGTGGAAGCTGCAGAGTTTCTGAAAAATGCTGTGGGCATTGAGACAATATCACAGAGGTTTTATAAAAAGGCTCTGTCAGTGTATCCATTTTCTATTATGTTGTGGAAATGTTACTATAAGCTGTTTCTGTCTATAGGAGATGCAAACAAAATTGTTGTAGAAGCAAAAGAAAGGGGTCTTGACATTGATTTAGTTACTACAGATTGTATATCAAATGGGAGGACCAATTTTGGTTGTCACAAGGAGGCATCAACTTGATGGTTTTTTCACTCATTTTTCTACATTTGGAAGCAGTTCTGATGACAGAAATTTCTTATACAGGTAAGTAAAATGTGAATATATAGCAATGTCAAGGTAACTTATTAGGAATATAATATACAGTTGGGCAATTTTGGATAACTGTTTTTCCTTTTGTTGTATTCGTTTTGGTTTTCTCCCCCCATTTTCTTGTAAAACTGATGTTCAGCCCTGAACTCATGATATTTCATCCTCCTAGACTAGGTAGTTAGGATTTCTTTTTCTTTCACATAATATGCTCTGAATGTTTTATTCTTTTTGACATTTTTTCCATAGGTTGTTACGTTACAGATGAGTGAAAGAACATTTTTTGTTGTCTGCATATAGCCCTTGTGGTTGTTTTTGTTCTTTCAATTCTGTTGATTGTTTTGTTTTCAAATGCAGCTGTTTGATATCTAATAGCTAGTGGCTTGGTATCCAATACCTGGCTTTAGTAACTTATTGATGGCCGGCGATAAAAATATATATATTTTTCATACCTCGAAAATATGTATGCCATGCTTAAGTTTAAATAAAATTTTATTCTGAATTTCTTAAGTACAAGTTGGTTGGGAGTTGCCAAGACATGATTAAAGGAGTGCAGTTTTGAATACGCAAGGAGCAAAATCTAATAACTATTCGACAAAAAAAATAAAAATAAATTCTTCACCTCTTCTGTTTTAAAAATCTATTGATATATCAAAGTTAGATGAAGAGAATTTCCCTTTTCATTCTTATGAAGTGGAACACACCTATGATTCTTATGAAGTGGAACACACCTATGAAAACCTTAATATAATATTTTTGGGTTTATTCGTAGATTTATCTATGAACGTTTCAAATTTCATTTTTTGAGAAAATATAATTTGGAGATGTAGCTTTGAATTTTTCTAAGGTTATAATTCTCAAATATATCTTTGAAGTTATCTTTCTTTAGTAAATCAAGTAGTCAATATTTTTGAAAAAAACAGTTCAGAAAATGTATTTGTGGATATTTTTGAGATAAATAATGAGTTTGTAGTTTTTTGAATCCAAACAATTAACATTGTTATTATTTGTTATAAAGATTAACAAACACGAATATTATAGAAAACATTATTGCATTAATTAAAAAGAAAGATAATCAGAGTACACAAATTGTTTTTAAAGTATGAAAACAAAATACTAAAATATTCAAAAGTATAATTAAATGTATGATCAATTGAGTGTGTTTAATCCTAACTCTTTGGTTTCTTTGATTATGGTAATCCAAGGCATTTCATTCCTCAGTAAGAATAGAACATGTTAGGGTTACCGCTTCTTTGCCACTTCTCTCAAACAACCTAGATTTTATGCCATCTCCCGTAAGCTGCATAATATTATGACGAATTGACATCACACCAATGTCATGGTCATCCATGACCTGTTCATTCTCCAAGATCTCCTCTTGAGCAGGTATAGGTGGAGCTCCGGTGTTATGACATAGTGTGACATAAAATATAACTACTAAGTCATGTAACCCTCAATATAACTCCATTGAGATGTGGCTTCCACCATCTGATACTCCTCTGGTATCAGATGACTCTCAAAATTCGTCAGATTGTCATCCAACTTGCAGACAATGTTCTCAGGAATAGCCTGAAAGGGGGACCTTAAAATGATCTACACGTATCCAAACTGTCACATGCATCGCTCTAGCAGATACTTGCACATGATACTTCTCCTACATGCAAGCCATCTAGAGTATAATGATATATGGTCGAATGGAATTGTGTCATGGTGAGAAGTGTAGGGCATCCAGTCGATATTATCATGTTGAGTCCGATCAATCTACACACGAAATGGTAAGATAACATCACTCTCTTTGCGCAGGCGATACTGTCAAGCACATGGGTAATTATTAGTATACCTTAGCGCACACCCAAACCCGTGTATCAATAGGTTGTACTTTTGTCCACAATCATGAACGTGCCAATCAAGTATAGAAAGTAATATCTCAACGCACACTCTCCGTGGTAGCCAACCTGTAGATCATCTTCATTGGAGTCTTCAGCCTCCTAAAGGTGATAGAGCAAAAAAAAAATCAATCACACCTCTCTCAAAGCATTTGTTAAAGAAGTTTGGTATTTTCATAGTGGATGCTCCAGACACATGACAAGGATTAAGAAATTTCTGACAGGGATAAAATCATCTTCAAGTAAAACTGTGACCTATGGAGATGGATCAAAAGGTAAAGTAAAAGGTGTTGGAAGCTGAATTATGCTAGACAACCCAACCTTGAGGATGTGCTAACTGTAGAAGGATTAGATATAAATCTGATAAGTATAAGTCAACTATGTGATCAAGGTCTCAGGGTTAACTTTACAAATTTTGAATGTTTGGCAATAAATGAGAAGGATGAGGTTATCATGAATGGAAGAAGATTAAAGAATAATTGCTATCTATGGAGTTTTGAGGAAACAAAGTGTCATGTAGTATGTCAGAAGGTCAAAAATATATTTGGAAGAAATATTGAGCCACAACAGAGGTTATATGCTTATAAAGTCACACAGGATGTTAGGATATTGTATGATAATAACTTGAGCATAACAAAATGTGATAAACACCTATTTGATCTAAGAAATAATGAGGTCACAAATGTCAAGACTCATGAGAGGGAAGATCAAGTCAAAATGGAAGACTTAAGTCTTAAATTTGAAAATATAAAAAATTTAAGGGAAAAATTTAAAGTGCATAAGGATAGGAAATTGCAGCAGGTATTGCTGTTTTCATGGGCTAATCCAATCCTCAATTATTATGTCTCCCATGCCTACATAAGCCCATTCTCTCAAATTCTAGGCAGTTGGACATGCTATTTACGCCAAGCTTATTGGTTTCTAAAAATTCCTGCATCCAATCTCAAAAATTTATGTTTATTGCACTCATTTGAGAATTTGCTCCAACAAAAATCAAAGATGTCTCAACATTCGCCATCTGAATTCGTGCATGCTTCGGCTAAAGATAATGGGTCATCTAGTCAATACCTAGGGTTGATGATGCAATTTAAATGGTTAAACTATCTTATCTAGTTTTGGATATTCCTCCCTTATCCATCGTTCTAGCATCTACCCAAGAGAAAGATAAATCACCTACCTCAAAGGTTGTTTGGACTTCTGCTACTGTTGATGAGAATATTGCTGAAAATAATAATAGCGGACTTAAAAGTAGAAGGTTTATTTGCAAGGTGTTGAAGGAAGCTGGCATTTTGTCAAATGTTCAGATATATGAGGAAGAAGAAACGAGGGCTGTTAAGCTCTCTAGTGCAGATCCAGACGATTCTACTCCTGAGAAAGTGGCTTGTGAAAGAAGAAGCAACAAAAAGGCTGACACAATTGAGTTTGACGACGAGCCTATTACCAAATGTTTGGCTTCTGAAGTAGCAAAAAGGCTTGTGATACGGTGGGAAGAACTGACTGTTTTTGGAATGCTGGTTTGCGTTTTGTGTTTCTGTTCGCAAAATGTCGCGGTAAGCAAGAGTCGCCACCGACTTTTATTTTATCCAACAAGGAAAGGAAAAAATCACAGAAAAATTCCTTTTTCGAGATATTTCTCGGGTTCGGGGGGTAGATTATAGAAAGGGAAGGTGTTAGCACCCTTTCTATCCATGGTTATCCATGGGCTCTTAGGTACTTGCTCAATTATTTTCAAAATTGCTTTCTTTGTGCTTGTGGGTTTGAAAAAGTTTTTGTTTGAAAACTTCGATTTAACTCTTGCTTCTGTCCTCAAGAGTGTAATGAAGTGTTTTGAAAAACTTTGTTCGAAAAGGAGTGTAAGTGTGAAGAGTTTTTGTTTTTTGAAAGAGCAGGTATCTAAGAACCATCTATCTACTCGAAAAAGGAATCGTTTTATGCTAATGTCCTTTAGGCAATGCTATTCCACCATTAGTGAGTAGGTAGCACCGTCCTTGGAGTTTTAGGGTCAATTCGAATGCGGGACTTACGGTCATCAAAGCAATGTTAGGACGCCTTAGCGGTAACCCTAATGTCTTAGATCATTTGTTTGAGGCGATAATATCCGAGGCAACCGTTTCGAGGCAACTATGATCTTTAGACAAGAGGACGACCTCTAAAACAACCTATACTCAATGACCGTGTACGAAGGCAATCAAGTGGGGTGTACCCTAAAAGTGCGCATGTGCGAGTGTGTCGTTTTCAGTTATTTTTATCTTTGTACATGTTAAGGGTGATCTAAGTTGATTTTAGGTTAAAACATTCAGTCTTGTCATGCCATCCTATTATCAAACATCTAACAGTTATATTTTGCAGAAATAAAATGCGGAATTTAAATTACAAGGCGTCGGGTATTTACATCGCCAAAGACAAACCCTTTGAAAATAAATAAAGCGATAAAAATAATTAAAAGTCCTATTCGACTATTACAATCCGAAATCAGATACATAATTGGATAAAAGAAAATAAATCGCGGCGCAAAATTTGATCGGACGCATAATTAGGGTTTTGACCCTTTAAAGAAGACATCTTTTTGTTGTTTTTATTTTAAGAGATAAATCCTAAATTAATTACTAAATTGAATTAATAAATTAATTAATAAAAACAAATTATTTTTGGGTTTTTGTTATTTTAAGAAAGAAAATAAAATAATTAAGTTAGTAATTAAAACCTAATTAAATCTAATTTAATTTTAATTATTTATAAAAAATAGGTTAAATTTACTCTAATTAAAATCTAAATTAATTAATTAGTGTTTATTAATAAAAATAAAACAATAAAATTTGATTGAATAAATTTTTTGGTGATTTTATTCTATGAGAAAAAGGATTTTGTGATTGGTTATAAAAATAATAAAATAATTAAAGTAAATAAACAAAAATAAAATAAAAGAGAGGAGGGGTATGGGCCTGAATTGGGAGTGTTGATAGCAATGGTGTGATACGGTGGGAAGAACTGACTGTTTTTTGGAATGCTGGTTTGCATTTTGCGTTTGTTTTCGCAAAATGTCGCGGT